AGGGGATAGAAATAGGGAAGCCAGTATCTACTGTTACCTCTTTATTGAGTAGCTTTCCAGTTATAGATAACTTCTGTTTTTTACATTGGCTTTTTAAAATTATTTTTTACTTTATATTTTTTGGAGATTGGTTCATACCAGTACTTATATCTAACTGCTTTATTTTTAGGTTGCATTGTAATCCGCTGTATGGTTATACTAAAATTTACTCAGTCTGTTCGACATTTAGATTGTTTCTGGCCTTATACTAGTATGTATAGCATATAGTGACTATCATTGTACATATTATTCAATTTGTATGTGAGCACACTGATAGGACAAATTTGTAGAATTGCTGTATGTAAGATAATGGACATTTTAAATTTTGATAGATGTCACAGATTACTTTGCAGTGAGTTGTTTCAGTTTACATTGCCACTATCAAGTGTATGAGAGTCACTCTTTGCTTGATATCTCCCAAGATGGAATTATAAAACATTTTTAATTTCTCCCAAGTTTAATGGAGTAAAAATGGTATCTCATTTGTTTTTCTTATTTATCTTACAGATTCAGTTGAGCATGTAATGGTTTTTAATGTTCTTTATTTTAACTTTGTTTTTAAAATAGAGTATATTGCGCATGGTACAGAAGTGAAAGGATATGTAAATGTATGTTGAAAGTTACTCTACTTCCTCCTCTAAACCCAAGCCCCCTCACTCCTCTCCTGGGAGGCAGCTTCTTCTTTGAATATCTATGTAAAAGTATATATGTTAAAAATTTTATTTTAGCCTGGGTGCGGTGGCTCACGCCTGTAATCCCAACACTTTGGGAGGCCGAGGTCGGCAGATCACCTGAGGTCAGCAGTTTGAGACCAGCCTGGCCAACATGGCGAAACCCTGTCTCTACTAAAAATACAAAAATTAGCTGGGCGTGGTGGCAAATGCCTGTAATCCCAGCAGCTTGGGAGACTCAGGCAGGAGAATCTCTTGAACCTGGGAGGTGGAGGTTGAGGTGAGATGAGATTGCGCTGCTGCACCGCAGCCTGGGCGACAGAGCAAGACTCCATCTCAGAAAAAAAAAAAAAAATTTTAATGCTCTGCTTTATTTATAAAATGAAATCAGTCTGTAAATATCTGTAAATACAAGATAGATATTCTAAAATATATTGTGTGAACATAGAATACTGTTTGTGAAAAAGAATGAAATATATGTGTTTGGATTTGGGCTGATCTCCAGGATAATACAGTATACGAACAAAGCAGGGTGTGGAACAATGTATGTATTCCCAATGTGTTGAGGGGAAAAAACATATATTTTCCTTCGTAGAAACAGTCACTATGAAGTTTCTAGTCGGTTGGTCCAGAAATTTTCAAAGTAT